GCGCTGGGAAACTCGGAGCCTTTGATTAGCAGAGCTTGGGGGCTCGGTGGAGGGACAGCCTGTCGCCCTTCCTCCCAGGCAATTACTCTCCCCCCTCGCTCAGCCAGCCCCTGCGCCTGGCTGGCTCCGGACACAGAGCTGGTGCCCAACCCCAGACCATGGTAGTCCCTGTGGGGTCTGCTCCTCATGGGGACATCCTCTGCCTGGGGCAGCGGTTTCTGTGCGGCCGCTGAGAGGGGTGTTTTGGGAAAAGGGTGGCCCAGGGTGTCCTGACCCCCTTGCTGCTTTGGTAGTGCAATGTAAGGTGGCCTCTGGTCCTTACTGGGTGGCTTCTGGAGCATCCTGCCTTCATACCAGGGACCACTCTGCAGGGGCAAAGGAGGTGCCTGGGGAGGGAGGAATGGTCGCTGCACCGTTTCCAGCTCCAAACGGGGGTGCTCAGCTTCTGGGGGTGAGGACAGCCTGCACGTTGTCCCCCCTGACAGCTGACAGCGGGAGTGGACTCCACAAGCACCCGGGCAGGGAGAAGGGTGGGCTCTCACACACACACCGTGGGGGCGGCGGGTGGGAAAACAGCACTGCCCACGACGTGCCAGTGCACTCCGCTTGGAGGGGACCCACGTCCTGTGGCAGAGGGTGTCCAGCGGTGGTCCCAGCCCCCCTCTCTCCCCACTCTCCGGGCTGTAACCTGAGGAGGGGCTCCGCTGCCCGCTGGAGAGGAGCCATCCCCGGCCAGGCAGGAGGGCGAAGTGCGGGGCTTTTATTACCCCGAGTGACCTCATTTCCCAACGTTCCCCTTTCCTCGCTGCTAATGGCAACAGGGCTGCGAAGGAACCCTGGGCCCATCTTCTCGGCCAAATGGGCACCGTTTCAACCTTCAGGCTGTCTTTCCGATTTCCTTGAACGAGATTAAATCCTTCAGGCATGAGCTGCAGCAGCTGGTGGCTGCCTCTGCACGGGGTTCCTGGTCCTGGTGGGGAGATCCTGGTCCCTGCGGGGTTCCCGCTCCCTCCCCAGGGGGGTTCCTTGTCCCTGACCTGGGGGGAAGGGAGTCCCAGTCCCTGCCCCGATGGGTTCCCAGCCCTGCTGGGAAGGTGCCTTCAGCCTCTCTGCTCTACCAAATCCCAGTGCACGTTGCACACTCTCTATGGATCAGCTGCTGGCACTGGTCCCTGGCATACAAGGGGGTGTCCGGTGGGTGGACAACATGAGAGGGTTGTACCCTGCTAATGCCGCCCTGGGGTCCCCCCGGTCTGCCCGCACGCCCTGCGTCCCACCGCCCGTGCCTTATTGAGCACCGAGTCCCATGTTTGCAGGGTGGCACCAAGCTCAGGGAGAGGCCACATTGGTTTGCCATCCCCACTGTTTCCTGGGGGGTTTCCCATGGCAGAAGGGACTGAGGCTGACCCTGAGAAAGGAGGGAGGACAGAGCACTCCACTGGCCAGCCTGACCTGCCCCGACCCCCAAAACACGGCCGTTTGGACCCATACCATAACACCCTCATGCTTCTCTTCCAGGGGAAATATGAAGAAAGATTCCTGAAAGATGAAACCATCTCCCAGCAGATCAACTCTGTTGAGTCCCTCCCAGAGCTGCACCTCTCCCCGGAGGATGAGAAGCCCAAGCAGCTCTTGCAGAGGAAGCTGCGCGTAAGGAGCCGGCCTCCTTCCAAGCCCACCATCGTCCGAGGGGTCACCTACTACAAAGCCCAGTCCACCGAGTCGGAGAACGACATCGAGGAGCAACGTGAGTTGGGTTTGCAGCTGCATCCATCGGGATGGATGGCTGTGTCCCGCAGCAAAACCAGCATCTGTCCCCAAGTCCTGCCTTGTCCCTTGGGACCGTGTGGGCAAAGTGTGTGGGGCCACGACGGAGACAAGGGCTTGGAGGCAGGAGGAGGTGGGTCGATTGGTACCTCACCTCTGTGCAGCCCTTGGAGCCCCATGTGGGGCAGCAGTGCAGTGGTGTTATTCCATGGAAAATCCCTTGTAGCTAAGGAAACAGGTCACTGCTACGACTTAAAACACCCAGCATCAACACCTTTCCGGAGAGTAAACACCAGTTAATTACGTACGTTAGTCCTGCAGATCTGCTGGCCCCATGGCATCCTGGGAGGTTTGTGCAGTGGCCGGGGTGGCAGGGACGCAGCTCAGAGCTGTGGCTGGCTGTCCTCTGGCTCAGCGAGGTGCTGCTTGTGGCTTTGGCCACGGTAAGAGCAGGGGGCTGAGCCCCCAGGGCCTGGCAGCATGGGCAAACAAGGCAAGTGCCCTCCCTGTGCAGAGCCAGCTCAGCAGCGAGGTCGGCCAGTAGAGCCATGCGTGGGCTTGTGAGATCCCAGAGATGAGGAGAAGTGAAGGGGACCGGTGGTCCCGTGCCCTGGGTGAGGCACCCGCTTTGGCAGCCCGGGTGAGGTGGGTGGGATGTGGCTGGGCTCTACAGCTGTCTCCATCCTGCCCCATCTCTGGGAGCTGGCAGGGTTGAATCGCAGACCATCACCTCCTGCTCTGCTCAGCCTGAGGTGGTGGGCATGGATGTGATGGGGTCCTACTGACCTCCTAATGTGGGCATCATCAGACCCTGCTGGTCATCCAGCCCTTCTCCTGGCTGGAAATTAAGAGGAAAATCATGTGGATTTAGTACAAGAAAACTTGGAGGAGCCACAGTGGTGGGGGAGGTGGAAAAGGGCCATAGGGAACCTGCTCCCACTCGCTGTGGGGCTGACACCCGTGCTTGTGTTTGGCAGCGGACGAGCTGTTCAGTGGGGACAACACAGTGGACCTACTGATCGAGGACCAGCTCTTGAGGCCCAGTGGCCGACGGTGCCCCTGTCCCCCGCCACGTCTACTGGGCCCACGCCAGACCCCACCACTGTGAGCCCGCTGACAACCACCCTGGCAGGGCTTGTGGAGGAGGGAACCCCACAGCTACCAGCAGCCTTGGCCAGCACAGTGGTGGCCACAGCCACAGAGACCCTGCCTGCAGCCACCAGCCTCGTCCCTGACCCTGTTGTGGCCAGCCCTGCTGGGACCTTGAGTGATGTGGGGATGAGCCTTGTCACCGAGAGCAGCCCAGGAACCTGGGGACAGGCGAGCACCCCGGCAACACTGGTCAGCCCCACCATCCCCGCCACACCAAAGCAGGCCCTGGAGGAGGAGGACATCAGGAACATCATCGGTGAGTGCTTGCAGGTCCTGCACCAATCCAGCTGTGCACGTGGGGGCTGGCTGATGCCCACAGTGTGTCCTGCTAAGTGCAGCACACCTGGATTTGGTCATGGGTGGGAGGCATCATGGATATGACGGCTGGGCAAGTGCTTTGGTGGGGCACCAAATTTTTCTTCCTTGTTAACTCTGGAACCTATTGTAGTCCCCTTCCATTTTGAGGGGTTGGGCAGAGTGGGAAGAGGCCTCCCCCAAGATGGACCTGTCGGGTCTCAGTCAGGGCAGGGACACGGCTGAGGCCATGAAGAGCTCTTTGCAGGATCTGCCTTGCGCCGCTGGGCCTTGTGAAGCTGAGCCCAGGTCAAGGCAACGGGGGTACCTGCTGGGTGGGAAAGGAGATGGAGGGGGAGTGATGCCTGCAGACCCCCGGCAGGAGAGGGGAGAGCATGGCCGTTCTGCCTTGGACCTCACAAGCTGCTCTCTGCCCTTGCAGGGCGCTGCAAGGACACGCTGTCCACCATCTCGGGGCCCACCACCCAGAACACGTATGGGCGCAATGAAGGGGCCTGGATGAAGGACCCCCTGGCCCGGGAGGAGCGCATCTATGTCACCAACTACTACTACGGGAACACGCTGGTGGAGTTCAGGAACCTTGACAACTTCAAGCAAGGTGAGTTTGTGCCATCCTTGATGCTGTGTTGACTGCCGCTTGGCTGGTCCAAGTAGCGTCGCCATTCCCTGCGATGCTGCACCATGGAGGGATGCTCTGCCCAGGGACCCTCCCCTCGGGCACCGGTACCCAGCACGTGGGTTTCAGAGCACAGGGCAGGTCAAGCTGCCTGTGGTGGCTCTGGACTTGCTTGACACCACGCCAGGCTGTGGCTGGTGGCCGGGGAGGGAGTGCAGGCAGGGCTGGGGGGAGAGAGTGCTGGCATCTGGTGCGGTGGGGCCACCAACCCCAGAGCAAAGGGAGGGTTTCACCAACAAGGTGTCTGCCCCACAGGGCGCTGGAGCAACTCCTACAAACTCCCATACAGCTGGATTGGGACAGGGCACGTTGTCTACAATGGTTCCTTCTACTACAACCGGGCCTTCACACGCAACATCATCAAATATGACCTGAAGCAGCGGTACGTGGCCGCCTGGGCCATGCTGCATGATGTGGCTTACGAGGAGTCCACCCCGTGGAGGTGGCGGGGCCACTCGGACGTGGACTTTGCCGTGGATGAGAACGGCCTGTGGGTCATCTACCCAGCCATCAACTACGAGGGCTTCAACCAGGAGGTGATCGTGCTGAGCAAGCTCAATGCAGCCGACCTCAGCACCCAGAAGGAGACAACGTGGCGGACGGGGCTGCGGAAGAACTTCTACGGGAACTGCTTTGTCATCTGCGGGGTCCTGTATGCGGTCGACAGCTACAACAAGAGGAACGCCAACATCTCCTACGCCTTTGACACGCACACCAACACACAGATCATCCCCCGGCTGCTCTTTGAGAACGAGTACGCCTACACCACGCAGATAGACTATAACCCCAAGGACCGCCTGCTCTATGCCTGGGACAATGGGCACCAAGTCACCTACCACGTCATCTTTGCCTACTGAGACCCCCTGCCACAGTGGGGCACTGCGAGCCAGGGGCCACCAGCACCTTTTTGTTATTATTTTTATTGTTATTGTTATTTTGTACAAATCAAAGAGTAAATGATGGGTTTTTAAGGGGGGGTTTTTTTTTTGTTTTTTTTTTTTTTTATGGTGGATTGTAGATCGATCCCCAGGCCAGAACCACCCCCTTCGTCTTTGCTGTAACCTTGCTTCTGTTTTCCCTTCCCGTGGGAAGGGTCCTTCCTTCGGGAGGGCAGACCCGGCTCTCCTGCCCACGGAGGAGGAGGTGGCCCAGACGCAGTCCTCCTAATGAGGTTTTTAGCTAAAGATGATCAGCGAGAGACCCAGAACCAGTGCAAAGCTGGCCTTTCTGCTGCAGGCTCCAGGTGCCGCCGGGACGCTGATGTCTGCCTGTCCTGGTGGAGGGGGTGCGTGTCCCATTGGGAATGTCCTGTCTCTCAGGACCATTTTCCCAGCCGATGGCCAGCAGGCCCTTCGGAGATCCTGCTCTACAATGGGTACTGGCTCTACCCTGGCGCTGGCACTTACGCGGAGGACTGTCCCTTCTGGCTGGGGCTCTGCCCTTTGCAACCTGCCTTGCGGGGACCGGGAGCACCCTGAGCTCCGACTCCAGAGTGAGCCAGCAGCAGGAGGGGGACACTGTAAATACGTGTAGATGGCTTTTGTTTGTTCTTTTTTTTTTTTTTTTTTTTTTTTTTTTTTTTTTTTTTTTGTAACCCGAAATAGTCCCCTTTGGCATTTGCTGGGTGAAGGCTCTGTTCTGCCGGGCGCTGGGCTGCCTGGGCAGGGAGCTGCGGAGCCGGGGGAGCCCTCGGGGCACCCTGGGGACTGGGACGGCCGTCGCTCCCCATCCCATTGCCGCTCCGTCTCCCGCAGGGTCTCAGCCCCTGTGTCCTCTCACTGCCATGCTCGCCCTGGTCCCCACTGTTGGCCATTGGGACCTCATCAGAGGGGTGTGTTCCCAGCCCTCCTAGCCCGGCAGCATCTTGTATTTACCTGCTGTTAATAATAAAAGATCAAGTACCTTTGCAGCTGTTTGGGGCTTTCTTTGGGTCTGGTTCACCCTCTGGGTGCAGGGATGTGCACGGAGGGTTTTTTGGGTGGGTTTTGGTTCACTGTGGGAGTGCCAGTTTACAAACCAAGCAGCAGCAAGGCGTGCTGGCCAGAGGGGACCTCTGGGGAGCTCTAGGTTGCTTGTGCCCGGCATCATGGCTTGGTGGCATCGCTGTGTCCAGCCCTGAGAAGAGTTTGGCTCGGTCACAACTGCAATTGCCCTCTGGTCATAGAATGGTTTAGGGTGGAAGGGACCTTAAAGACCATCTAGTTCCAACCGCCCTGCCATGGGCAGGGACACCTCCCACTAGAACAGGTTGCTCAAAGCCCCATCCAGCCTGGCCTTGAACACCTCCAGGGATGGGGCATCCACAACTTCTCTGGGCAACCTGTGCCACCGGGTCACTGGGGGCTGTGGTGAGACGCTCCCCCCCTCTCCCCAGCCTCCTCTTCCCCAGGCGGTGGGTGAGCAGGGTGCCCCCCTCCCCAGGAACAGGAGGGGGGGTCTGGGTGCATGGACCTTGGGCAGTGCCAAGCAGAGCTCCACTGCAGCCCAAAAGCCAGCAGAGACTGCGCTGGCCTTCTCGTTTGCTTAAGTAAAACAGTAGTAGCAAGAAAAAAAATATTATGAATAATAAATAAAAGAACCACTTTATTGCCTTCAGTGCTAGGGACACAGGGAACAGAACTACATGGGACATGGGACAAGAGGTGCTCTCCACCACAGGAGCCCACGGGTGCTGGCAGATGACAGTCCCCAAGCCCCCTTGCTGCCCTTTCCAACACAGCCAGGCTGTGCCAAACTCAGCCACCACCACCAGGTCCCTTCCATGGCCCCCTCGGGAGCAGCCGGCTGCCCCTGCCCGGGGGCTGCGGGGGAGCTGCGTGCCTCTGGCTGGGGCACCGCCGGGGTTTTTATTTTTGACTATTGTGTGAGCTGGCCCACAGTCAGGTGGGGCCGGGGCCAGGAAAACAGAACTGGTGCAAAAGGAGCGCAGCCAAAGCCCTCGCCGAGCCCGGCTGCTTCCCAGCAGCGTGAGCGCCGAGGGGACGGGGGGCCTGAGCGGCTTTGCGCTGACTACGTGGCAAAGGGCAAAACTTTTCCATAGTGTTGCAAGGCACATACTTCACAGGGGTGTATTGCTCCTCACCCTCCTCCTCACCTCCCCCGAGCTGTTTGTCTTGCTGCAGGATCAACCTTTATTTCCTAACAGCCACGCACACACACAAATAATAATAATAAAAACACACCAG